AGGACATATGGGAACTTCGCATGTGTTAGCTGCGATTCGCAAGTACTATTGGATATTTAAAGGCACCAGCACGGTTAAGAAAGCAATAGGAAGGTGTGAAACTTGCCGAAGGTTTACTCTAAGTCCAGGGAATCAACAGATGGCGCCACTTCCAGTTTACAGAGTGCAAAGAGGTTGGTATAGTTTCTCGACGACAGGAGTAGACTACTTTGGACCTCTTCTAGTCAAGAGGGGTAGGTCACTAGAAAAACGATATGGATGTGTGTTTACCTGCCTGCAGACACGAGCAGTACATATTGAGATGGCATACAGTCTGAATACCGATTCATTTATAATGGCTTTGATACGTTTTATCGGAAGAATAGGGAAGCCGACAGACGTGTATAGTGACAATGGATCAAACTTCGTGGTGGCAGTCACTGAACTAAAAAGCTTCGTGCAACAGTGGAATCAGCAGAAAAATAGTAAGGAATTATCATCAAGACAAGTTCAGTTGCATTTTAACCCTCCACTATCCAGCCACAGAGGTGGAGTTTGGGAACGAAGGCTGCTATTATTGATCACCAGGGAACAGGTGTTAACGGACGAAACCTTGGGTACCTATCTGGTTGAAATTGAGAGAATTCTAAACGACCGACCCCTAACCCCGGTAGTCCAGGATGCTAACGACCGACTAGCTCTATCACCAAATAGCCTACTGTTATTGAGAGAATGTGACGGAATAGCTGAGGAAGGAAGCATTAGTGACAAGTTCCACAAACGTTGGAAGCAGGTAAATTATTTAGCCAATGTATTTTGGAAAAGGTGGTTAAAATAATATTTGCCGTCCATACAAACTCGCCAAAAATGGCTAAAAGAGCATCGCAATTTTCAGAAAGTAGATGTAGTAATTTTTGCCTCGGATATTACTGCTCGTGGAAAATGGCCCTTAGGAAAAGTAGAGGATTGCGAGACAGATAAGGAAGGAAAGGTCAGAACGATAGTTGTTCGTATTACTAACGGGTAGCGAGAAGAGACATACGAAAGGTGGGTCTCTTAGAAGGTTCCAACTAGATAGGTTATATCCATATTGAAAACGGGTAGGCGTACTGCTGTAAGTCCTATTCGTCCTTTCGCTGTGGATTAGGGAATGAGAGTGAACCCTAAATTGAAGTGTCAGAAAGGGCTTGTTTTTTGCATGGAGGGATTTTGCGGGCCGGTGTAGAATCTATTTTGAATGTTTTATGTTTTGGAAAATCTCTCCATGTATATATATTTATGTTATGATATGACTGACTCTTTCTGTTGACATTTTGGTACTCTATTTGATTCCATTTTGAGATTTTATCATTGTATATTGTTATTATTTCTATATCTTGTACTTATATTGAAGTTTTTATGTTTGCTTCTGAACTGTACATATGTTGTTTAAATTTGATATATAATATGGCTACAGCCATATTTGGATTTGATACCGTAGCAGTACGAACTAGTAGCACTTATTCTTCCAGAAACGGATACCCATAGTGGTAATTGTGAATTAGAAGGTGTATTAATAGTTGGGTAATTGTCTGTATTTCCATTTTATATTTGAATAAAGACCGTTTTCTCCCAGAATTATTGTGTTTTGATATTGGATATGGGACGTCGAGTACCAACCTGCACCTATTGGAAACGGAGTGAACTGCTGGGGTAGAAAATTCATCTAAACATACTATCAGGCTTATTCAGACTCTATGCTTCTAAACGACTACTGATTGAAGAGCATTTTAAAAACTATTCCTGTTGCTATCTCGCTTCTTGTGTCCTAAAACTATTAGTTCGCATTTGAATTTTTCATTGTATCAAAAACGAATGAATTGCTTGAATTTGCTTGTGTTCATTTTATTAAAATAACAGTTTTGATTTGTTGAATACGTATATCAGTGCGTACAGTTCTTGGAGAAAAGAACCACCTGTGCATAATTTTTCTTCCTATGGCACGGTGTATATATAAACGTACATCAGTTTTAATTTTGCATATTTAGCTCGTTTAAATTACGAAATTCAACTTCACCTTTCTCTTTAAAGAGGATTCGAAAGAACTAGAAGAATGATTTGTTGACCTTGCAATCAGAGATGTCATGACACGTAGAACCTAGCTTTGGTGCAGCTACTTAAAGTACTGTGCCTCGATTCTGTGTCCTGTAACCGTCACGAAAAAAAATGCTGAGGGTCCCAGAGTATTGATTACCTATTGTTGTAAAACTCTTCCGGTTGCTTAGTCAGAAGCGTCTAAAGCGACCCAAACAGATGCTTTGTTATCAAGATCTGCGGTTTTTCATCAGCTATCCAGAGCTTATCTCTTAGTTGTCACAAGTACTCAAATGACGATAGAACTGTTTTATCAGATTCACATTCTATTCATGCAAAAAAAATTGTCAAGTATTTGTTTACTAATTAAATTCAGCGATCTTGTGGCTAGATGTGAACAGTCGACAAGTTAGAAAACAGATAAAAATCAATATAAATCAAAACCGAGTAAGATCTAGTATCATTTTCATTCACAATCACATTAACATCCAACCTATTCGACCAAGTTATACAGAATAGAATAATTAAAATGTTATACATTTAAACTTCTCCTATTCAGTAATTCAGACATTTCCCTACTTATTCGGTGAGTACTACAAACAATCGTGTATTTTAATTAAAGTTTTTTCCATCCTAGATCTCAGGCTATTCTGTACTGGAAACTTTTATAACTAAAATCTTTGATGAAAATACACTCTAGTATGTAATGCTTACCACCATTTGTTCGTAGAAGGATCTTATCGGCATACGTATTTATCACCTTGAGTAGGTGGGATTTTTGTTGTGTATACCAAAATTTTATCTATAGACTTGACTTTGAAACACTATCTTGGATGAATGCTTTACAAACAGCCATTATTGATGTTGGCTATCTCTTCAGGCGCCCCGTAGTGTCGAAGAAGCCCGCTTGTTTCCACCGCATCCGTGCTGTCAAATGATCTCCCGTGGTCGAATGAGTTAGTGTAGAGTGGTGTGTTCTATTAAATTGGTTGTTTCACAGTGATCCTTAGCGCAGCGATGTGGTCGGCAAACGATCGATCCTTACGGCATCGAGTTTAGTGATCTCGAAGTTGACCACCTCTGGAATCTTTCATTCTGTTCAGCAACACCATGTTGAAGATTTTTCCCGGTATTGAGAGAACAGTGGTGCTTCTGTAGCCTTCACACTAGCTGAGATCGCCCCTCTTTGATATCTTGATGTGGTGTCCTTCTTTCCAATCTGTTAGTACTTGTTCTTCTTCCCAAATCTTGTTGAAGAGAACGTGGAGTATCCTTGCAGTTAATGACACGTTTGCTTTCAGTGCGTCTGTTGGAATGTTGTCTGGTAGCGCTGCTTTGTCGCTCTTCATTCGTCTAATGACCATACTGATCTCTTCAACTGTTGGTGGGTCAACAACTATTGGTAGGTCCGTGGGCATTGTCACGATGTTGGGTGGTTTCAGTGGGGTGGGTCGATTCGAGAGTCTTTCAAAGTGATTTACTCACCTAGTTCGCTGTTCTTCAATGTTGATGATCACTTTGCCTTCGTTGCATTTCACTGGTCATTCTGGTTTATGATGGTTTCGAGCAAGCTTCTTCGTTGTGTCAAACAACTGTCTCATGCTTCCTTCTCTTGCAGTCTTTCCCGCTGCCACTGTTACATCTTCCACATATTCACGTTTGTTAGCTCTGATGCTCATGTCCACTTGTTTGTTCGCTTCTGTGTGATCAGCTTGTACCTTGGCTTTCTGTACTCTTGTTCGGCTGATATTGGTTGTTGCCGCCTCGTTTCTCCCCTCTCAAATCTTATGATAAAAATAATTATCTGCAGTATGCACAAATGTTCTCAATCTAGTTCTCTGCAGGATTTTCTGATTGAACGCATACGATTTTGTTCGTGTGTTTTTTTTCTGGAATATGATGTCTGCGCTGACCATTTTGTTGAAGGTAAATAGATTTGTGAATCTCTCAGCACTTTTGTTCCTTTCTCCCAGTCCATGTCGTCCCATGATGTCTTCATTTCCAGTGTTGCCCATTGCAACCTTATCGTTTAGGTCTCCCATCAGAATAGTCGAATTGTTTATGGGAATTTCTCGACCGTTGGCTGAACCCGCTCATAGAATTGATCTTGACCGTCGTTATTGTTATCTTTGGTAGGCGCATAAAATTGCATAACATACATTGTAATTCTGCCCTTCTTTGTCTTGAAGGAGGATGTGATATTACTGGGTCCTCGACACTGCCATCCTACGAATGCGTTTCGTGCTTGTTTCGACAATATCAGTGCAACTCTTTTTATTTGATGCATTTTTTTCTTTACGGCCGGATCGAAATAGCATCTTTTCTGAATTCAGTCTATTTTGTCTAGCCCGCATCAAGTGTTTCGTTTATTCCAAGCACCACCAGGTTCTGTCTTTTCATTTTTTAAGCAACTTGATTAGTTCTTTCGGTCTCACATAGTGTACGGACGTTCCGCATCCCTATAATAATGGTTGTTCTGGTTGGAAGAAGAGGCGCCAACTTTCTGACTTGCGAAGAAATTGAGCTTACACCATGAAGTGTCATAACTAATATAAATGAAGACCTTACAACTCTGGTGGTATAGTTTAAATGGTTTGAGTAATTTGATCTAGTTAACGTTTTTTAGCGAGTTCGTCCCCCACGGGATGGGGTCGCTAAACTCTTGTCCATCCCTTCTTCTTTATCTTGGCTTGGGACCAGTAGTATCACCAGGCGGTATTATCCTAATACGTAAGCTCCTTCTATTTAGTGTTTAGTGCATTCTACGGGAATAAGATTATTATTAAACTTACAGAATGCTAAACGTTATTACATCGCGCGCAGCTTTTTCAAACTAATACTGGATAGATAACATTGATAATTGAAACACTATCCATTAATCGGTACGCTCTTTATTTCTGTCGGACATATTTAAGGCGCTCGAAGGTCGGCGTTTTCTTGTGGTTAGCATGCCGAAATACGATCGTCAGGCTAATGGATACAGAGTATTCGTTGGAGGTGTGGACCCTCGTGTGGGAAAAGTTGATATAGAACAAGAGTTCGAGCGTTTCGGTCCGATAGCAGATGTATGGGTCGCCCGAAACCCTCCGGGGTTCGCATTCATTGTATTCAAGTATGCAGAGGATGCAGATCGAGCAGTTAGGCGAATGGATGGAAGGTGAGAGTACGTACTTTTAATCAGCTTGTTTGTAGTCGTCCTTTCGGGTCTCGTCTAAGGGTAGAACATGCGGTTAATAATAAAACTGCAAACAGGTAGGTCACGCGATTTAATTCTACCGTATGGTGTTAGGTTATTGGTAAGTTTATGCAGAGATACTATTTTACTAGTCGTTGGGTTTATGTATAACATTGTCAGCGTCAGGTTATCCTCAGTCCTTAAGGGCAGATCCTTCAGGCTTACCGAAATAGAGTACTTAAGGCACCTCAACTCTGGGAATTCAGCATGATCATTATTTATCAGTCTGTAGATTGCTTAGTTTCAGTAACTTTCCTCTGACTATTACCTTTAGGTCAACAGGTAAGTGGTTCAAAAACTAAGTTATCGTTAACTTGTGAGATATAAAGATTAACTAAATTACTGCACTTCTTCTTACATCCAAGACTGCCTCGTGGCAGGTATCACAACATTTCGTCAGAAGCCGCCCACGTCCACTACCTAATACATCTATTAGCTCCTGTTTCATCTTCAACCCCTCAGCTCGTTCATCCAATCTACGCTTTCTTCGTCTGATCACAGATGTTCTACAGCTTGTGGCTAACTCAAATTCTCTCCGTTTTTATCTTCGAATACTCTAACGCTTGCCTCCACGCTAAACAGTTCATCGAACCTTGCCAATAAGCCCGCATTTTGTCACAGTAAGTTGCATAGCTAAGCGCACTTTAGGCTTTTACATAGACACTCCTGATTCACTATCGGGTATTCCTGTTTCTATTTAAAAACGTAATTGTTTCAAGATTTAGTGAGGTTTCTTGCGGTTTCACCACGAACTCAATCGTTATACTAATGAGCTCATTCAGAGGTAGCGTGACTCAAGATGTAGTCAAACAAGTAAAGGGTCTATGGATAAACTATTATATCGCAGGCATAGCGAACCAGCAAGTGTACGGACAGTCGCTGAAGTTTGCGAGCCTATTGTAGTGAAAATCTAACTCTGGTTTTCACCTAGCCAAGTAAACAGGAAAACTGGGCTAAAGCTGTTGCAAAGTAATAGACGATATTTCTTTCAATGTTTAAAAATTTCGTCTGGTGTGATGTTAATTCCTTCGTCCACTATTTTTAGCAGCTAAAGTCGTGTACATTTGTTTCTCGATCACAGTGGTTCTTATTGATGTAGCGTTTGAAATTTTATTAGAATCGTATCTTACGATCATGTAAGCTAACTCATAATATTTGTCTAGTACCTTAGCAATCAATCGTCCCTAATTTGATTATCTATCGGGGTCTTTTCTCCTATTAGACAAGGGGAATTTTTAAGTAGCTCCATTAGTACTACCGTCCTAACCTGATATATTGTAGTCCTTCCCCTGTGCTACCTCGCATTTTCCAGCTCAAAAGCTCAGAGGCTAATGTCTGAGTGGCGTAGAGAGAATGATTATCAATTAAGGTATAAACACACCTCGACTAGTTATCGTCGTTCCTTGTGCATTGCTGAACGATTATGTATAGTTTGCCTGAGCTCATAAATCCATAGTTTGTCATGCTAATGGACTATTGTGTTTATTCAGATCGTGAGTGTAGTTTCGTATTTTTCAGCCGACGTCACGATCGTTCGCGTTCTCGTTCCTATAGCAAGCGTCGACGAGATTCTCCGCCGCGTCACCGCACCCCCGTACGCCGTTCTTCTTCGGGACGTCGAAGGTAAGTTCATTTTTCACCTCATTTTTTAAAGATCCCCAAGTGATCTTAGAGACACAAGACGTCACTCACCGCCTGGATATGAAAGGAATAGGTCAGGTCACGAAGACCGTTATCGTACAAGGTCCCAGTCTTCTAGTAAAAGATCCAGCAAACACAAAGTTCGACCTCGCTCTAGAACTCCGTCTCGACAGTCCTCACACCGCGACAGCAACCGACACTCTCGCTCTCAGTCGCGAAGCTCTCACAAAAACAACGGGCGTCACAGTCCCACTCCCGATCGTCACTCGGTTTCGGATTATGGTCGTTCCCGCTCGCGGTCACCAGATGTTGAACGAAGACATAGTTATGAAGATTCTGGTAGTCCTGTTGACGATGGTCACAATGCAACTCCTAGCGATCGCGGTGCGCGTAATCATAATTCCCGTTCTGTGTCCCGCTCACGATCCCAGTCACAACAGAGCAACCACCGTTTCAGATCCCGATCGCCGTCTGACTATCATGATGAGAGTGCCGCAAGAGAACATTCATTTGACAGTCATGCAGGTGAGTTGCTAAAGCAATTTGAGTTAATTTTGCTAAAATTCAAATGTTTTTTGATTATTGCCATACCTAAATATAACCGCCTAATTTGTAAGACGACATCATATATATCTCTATCATTCGGATACACTTGATTTATAGAGCTCTTTGGTCTCATGTGTAGTCTGTTGTTCAAGTCTTATGTAGTCATTAGTGCTCCACATCTGTGAATAGAAAACACTTCTACATACTTATCTGTTTGTCTAACTTCTTTAGATCACTACTGCCTAAGCTTTATATGTATACTTACATTATTTGAATCCACTTCAAGTCTCGTACAAGTGAACACCAACAATAGTATGCATATGTTTTCAGCAAAAATTCATAAACTTAATAACGTAATTTTTTTGAGTTATATGCCAAGTCCAACCTCTGAATTTAGATATGGATTGAAAATTGGAAATAACTTAATATTGAAACAAAATGTTTAATATTGAAACAAAATGTTTATTCTGGAAAGCTAATGAATACGTGTTATCTTTCATCTCAATTTAATAAAATATATGATGGTACATTACATTACTAAAGCTTCACAGAGAAGAGAACAAAGTCCAATGTTTTATTTGTATTATTGCTAATACAGATAATCAGCCTATCATTCACTTGTCAGTCCGAATCTCATATTAGTAGACATAGTATAGGCATTGGTAGTAATAGAAAGGATTAGGGCTTGAGGATGGGGTTTGATAAGCATATCTCGTTGGGAAAGGAGGAGAAAGTTCAGAAGATTAGAATTTGAGGTAAGACGAATAAAAGATGCACCTGCGCCATTAAGAACGATTTTGAGCCATATCAATCTAGGTCTCTAACCACCGGCTACGATTGTCTCACGGACTCCAATCAGGTTGAGGTGGTTGGGATATGTGTTACGAATGCCCAACCACCGACTGTCATGCCGTGAGATGATACCTGGTTAAGAGGGTGCCTGCGAGAAGGCCAGGGGCAGTCAAATCAGTACACGGCACAATCCGTGGGGTCATGGACAACCGACAGAGCCGTATTGACAGGCATGAGCTATCTGGTCGGGGTCCATAAGAAAATAGTAGCCGATGCTTGGAAATAATGAAAGACATGCTTCAAGATCGTTTCAGTGGGACAGTGCGTCTCTTGATTGTTTTGTCTCTAACTCTAACGTTCTCAATTCCTCATGACCTTTTCCGCTTTTGAAAACTAATTCCACTGAGATATACTTCTCGAATCATATTTTCAATCGTTAATCTTCATTTTTACTAATGCTTCTACTACTATGTGGTTTGAATTGAAAATTGCATCTCTGTGCTCTACGACAAGTTGAACTGATGTACGTGCGTACGAAGTTCTACGTTTTAGCTGACTGACTGACTGACCATCCAGGCAGTCTACAATTAACTTGGCTCAGTCCAGTTGTCAATGACTTTCTTGACTTGTGCCATGTTTTTGGTTTGACCGCCCCCAGCTTACTCCTACATCAGACAACATCGCTCATCGAGGCGATAATTAAATCACTAAGAATAGCAAAGATCACTTAATTATCTGAGTTCTTAAACCTAGGTGTAGTTATGCTAAAATAAGTGCTCAGTAATTACTATAAACATTTGAAATGAAGTTATCGAGTTTTTATATCAGTCCTTACAAATGATCATGAATGATACTTTCGATTGTCTTAAACTACAACTCCCTAAATGGCGATATTCAAGATTTAAAAGTTGAATATATTACATAGTTGTGGCTCACTGATATCTAATTTAAAGTCGTTTTCTTTCCTTTTAGGTGATCAAAGTGGTTAAGAAAGCAACTATTCATATACTAAACATGTTCATATATATTGTCCTATAATTTTTTAAATATCGCATTTGAGTGTCAATTCGTTGTGTTCTTATTATGCGTGGATATGTGTATTAGTTTTCACGTACTGTCTTTCACCTCAAGAACTGAATCATAGGTAACAAGTTATATTTTGTCCGTCTTCTGTAGACTAAGAGAAAAAACCAGTACTTCGTTTGGGATTTACGAATCCGACAGCAAGTTGTGTTTTTGTAGCGACTTCCTATCTTTGTACGCTATGTTAGGGCGGAGGGAAGGATAGTACACTCCTCGAAATGCTCCCATATAGCACACATACAGACGCTAACAGGAAACTCCTCACGGTGGGGATGTTGCATGCGAAACTACAAAAATGAAGCCACCTGCTTCGATCTAAACAGCCAGCCAGTACTCCAGCTCACACATTGGTCTGTGTGGCGCCAATATGTTTCGGTATACCCTTGTACCGGCCTGATAAGTAGTATCTAGATAGTTAATAATCGTCGATTATTTCTGGGATAGGTTTGCGATGTTGATCACGATAGGTACGCATCAATTAGAAAATGCATTTAGTCGAAACTGTATTATGATGGTGCTAGTTTTTAAAAGAACGAAATTACTCCAGGAAGTGTGCTAACTGGTTTGGCGCACCATAGGTGTACGTTTGCTCTCATGTCCCCCAGAATCTCGACTAACTAACTTCGTTAACGGCTGGTATTATGCGGCTTATGTCGTGCAGTTGGTTGGTGTCACAACGTAGGTCCTAGTTAGTATACAGGCGCCTGCCTATCTTGATGCGTTAAAACTAATGTTCAGAAACAACGGTTAAGGATACATTGCTGAAGACATTAATTGTATTATGAATCGTTCTGGGAAGTGCTTATTGCTGTCGTAAACTCAACAAAGGTTCAGTAAGTAGAGAAATCGATCAAACGTGTACTACTCGAGTGCTTCTCGTTAGTTCGTATAAGGATTGTATAGGTGTATTTCAGTTCCACTACGTTACTCGTTATATAAATAATTCCATTCATCATAATTTTGTGATGTTTATTTTTCCGATTCTGCGAAATCATCCAATATTGTAGGATTTGCGATACTGTCCTACGTCCTATTACATACAAAGTTGCTTTTCCATAGCCTTTGACCAATATCACAGCCTCATAGTGGTAGATATTTAGTGACCAATCCATTCAGGTGGCATTCGATGTTGTGTTTTAATTTCAAATGTCTGCAGAAATGTCGTGAACTGCAATCATGAGTAAATCCTCTTGTCATTTACAAAGGTTGTTTCAACATCTTTGGATTCCGGATTTGTCACAAATTAGTTGCAATCAATATAACTTGTGTTTAGTATTTCTAGGCACTATTCTTGTTTACCATCACAGTCCCAAGCTTGTAATCAGAGTAAGGTCCTACAGGAATCTGTAAAGGTATATCGAAAAGTAGAACAAAATCGCTTGTTTTAGAACTGGCCTGATTAATCGTGTGTCTAATGGTTAAACTAAAAGAATGGAATGTATAACTATATTCCGTTTGCTATATTAATTGCACTCCTTGATTACACAAAGCCTTTATTAAGATTTATATACTTGAGTGCAAATCATTAAATTTGCTTAAGCGTTATTTTGTCATACATTGTATAGCACATCGTTTATGTTCAACTCTCTGTTTTTAATAACAATGTTCAAAATAATTCGTAATATTTTGGTAAGGATAATGATTCCATACATTCAAACTGTCCTGTAATAAACAAAAGTATGTGTATGTATGTAAGTGATACTAATTGAAACTTTTCAGTATAAAAATAGATACCTAGTAGAGAATGAATTAATTTGAACTGGAATTCGATTCACAGTTGGTGCTTCAAATGTTATTTCCTTTTATTTTTCTGTGAATTTACTAAATACTCTTAGTTGACGGGTTATCATGCGTAATCAGTTTATTTGTGATGCTTATTGTGGTTTGATGTCTATCATTTTGGTGAATATCTATATTTATGAGCATTTGTTATGAACTTTGCTGTATTCTTTCATTGTACGAATATTGTGATAGTCTTATTGTTTTATCTTTCTATCCCAACTATTTTTACTAAAGATTTTCAATGTCTTATGTACTAACATAATTTCTTACTCAAAGAAATGTGTTCTTGCTTACATGTGTTACTCCGCACGAAGCATAGGTCGCCGACTAGCAATTTCAAATCTACTCTGTCCTGAACTGTCTTTTTCAGTTGTCAAGCCCTACCCATTCTTTTGAAGTCAATCACCAATTGCCGGTGCAATATGTTCTTTGGTCTTCCTTTACTTTTACCTTGAGGGTTCCAAGTTGTGGCTTGGTTTGTGATACAGTATGGCGATTTTCGTATTAAATATCCTGTCCGCCTACAGCGTCTTTCTTTAATTTCTTTAACTGAGAGCTTGTTCTTCCTGTGCCGCAGTAGGTTGTTATTGGCCAACGGATCTGAGTATCTGAGTATCAACTATTCGTTTGATGGTTTCAGCTCCATACAACATGGCTATCTTAATATGTGTATTGATAATTCTTACCTCAATGTTGAGTGACAGTTGTTTTCAGTTCAACATGCTGTTCAATGGTGGGAATATATTCCTTGCTTTTCCAATCCGTTTCTTCTCATTCGCGTCCGATTCCCGTTGTTTATCAATGATTCTACTCGAGAACGTAAAAGTTTTCCACGCTTTTCAGTTATGTGTGGCTCAGTCAGTTGGTGCTTGTTGTGGTGTTTTTCCGGATCTTGTTTCCCCCTTGTGAATGTTGAGGCCTACTGATTCAGAGTCTGCTACTATACTGACCATCTTCACCTGCATTTGTTGCTGTTTGGGGTGGAAGAGCTGGATGATCTGAGAAATCCTAGTCATTTAGCTGCATGTAAGCTGTCCACTATATTTCGTGTTCTCTCTATGATGTAGACGTCTTCATGATCCAGTCGACCACCAGAAGAATCCCGTATGGTGGTGAAAATCATATGATGTAACCATGGTGTAGGATACAGTTTCATAATTTTCTCGTAGGTCTGCAGGCGGGGTTAGAACCCAAATGGAACCAAAAAAGTATTGGTGCATTTTCATTCTCGTCAAAATGAGTTAACTTTACAATTTATGAATCCTGCACATCATGTGATAATCTCTCATTAACGGGTCACTTTTTTAAATGTGAATCATACCACCAAATACATTTCTCAGTAGGTATTCAACATCGATGCTGTGTTTACAAGTCTTAAAGGGCAACCCACAGTCTAAGATCTGCGCCATTTCTTGTTACTCCATCGCCCAGCCGCTCAATATTTAGTTGAGCGATCTCATCTGTGTCTCTACAAGCAAAAATAATCTAGTGATGCCTGTGTATACCAATTTTGCACTGACTTTACATATGACATCTGAGTATCATGTCTGGAAAAGCTTGGTATCAGTGTCATCAGAATCCGTCATATCAATTATCTTCGTAAAAATCGGTAGTTGGTTCTCTTTAGTTATCACCTTTCAATATTTATTCTAAGCTAGAGGTAGTGTCATTGCCTACTTTTCACTTTGTATCGAATCCATTATTTCAAAAACAAAATTAATGTGTCGATTTCATGATGTTGAATTTGTACTGAGTTGTCACTATAAAGAGATATCTGCTGCACATATGAGAAATCCTTGATCATCTAGAAAGTGCAATACAACGTTTTAGTATTCAGCGATTCTCCCGTTGATATGAATTAATGGTGCATCATCTGAAGATTGATTGAATGAGATCTTCAAGCATAACTCATTTGAATGAACAAAGTGTTAATTGGCATAAAAAGTAAATACGATTTAGCTAAAAATGATCAGGATTTATTACAAAAAAAGGTGGCTGAGTTTACTCATCAACATCCACTGAACTTTCAATCTGATATTATTTTCAAATTAATGTACAAGTAGAAAAATCTAGGTACTCATGACAACAGTACCGAAGACAGCAAGAAGTTCGTACGGTTCTTATTTGGAATTGTAAACTGTACTGCAATTCATGCAAGTCGGTGGACTCAGTACATGGAATGTTGAAAAAATAATATTTTAAGGTGTGGCAAATAGATGAGTAAGATCTCTCTCCTTTATATAAGAAGCTGGTCTGAGAGACTTACATAAAATCCTTACTTGACCATTGTTAGTCTTATAACTAGATAAATTTCCAAAACTCTGTTGTCATAGTGCTTATCACCGTTTTTACAAATGAATTTTATTATAAATTTATCTTTATTAATTTAGATAGCAAGTTGTATTTGCATACTTTTCAAGGGTCTCTACCTAACCTACTTATTCATATTTAGCAACAGAATTTCTACTTCATTTAGTGACTGATTTTTGTACGAAAAGAGGTCAGTAATATGTATGGGAGTCTGACGAATTTATGAAATAATTTACTTTCTAATCATCTTGCTAGTGATTTATTTTTGTAGTTGGGTAATAGCAAACACTTAAATTTAAAATTTTTTAACTGGTAAGACAATAAATCACTTAAAATTGACCTTATTGTTTATTCACTTGAAATATAGATTGATATAAATGTTTTGAAGTAGGTTAATATAGTTTGTTAACCAAGCACTCATTAAAATTAACGAATTTCTCAGCTATTTCTAGAAGCTCATCAACACAAACGGATGCAAGGACGGTATCCTGCCAGTCTTGCAGAAGTATTTTACAGTTTATTGGTATAATAAATGCTACATTGATCACCTAAAATTACTGAATGTAATTTGAATAACATGTATATTATCACAGAGTAAAATAATTTGATTTGGATAATCAAAGTAAAATATTATACTCCAGGTAGCCAGTTTACACCACTATCGCAAGCTCATTTCATCATCTGTCCTGAGTATATTATCGATAAGATTTAAGCAGATATTTCTATTTAACAAAAAAATCCGATCTTTACTTTAATTTTTGTATTTATGCTTGAATGCTTAGTGATTTTTAAACTCATAGGTCCATATACGTAG